TCTCACACAGCAGCACTCTCCCTCTTGTGCCTGGAGGGGGAAATGAAGGGAGGGGGATTCTTTCTAGGTTTGCCTCTCTAGACCAGGGTGGGTGAGAGGTGCCTCCGTTCTCCTAAGTAAAGCTAAGTTTCTCTTTCCTCCTTGGGAAAGCTAGCTCTTCTCCTGGAATGAGCCTTGGAACGTGGGTTGCTCCAGGAACTGCGGTGCTGTGTGGTGGGGGCCAGCTCTGCTGAGCTCTTCCCAGCTGTCAGCATTCCTGGTGACTCTAAAGAGCTTGTGCAAATAGGCCTGAGTTGGGAGCATAAAGTCTCATAGGATGACTCACTGTCTCAATCTCTCAAGCCAGAAGTTCAGGTTGTGGCAGGTGGTGACTTCTGGTTCCTCTGTCATGGAGCAATACCCTCGAGGGTCTGCTCTCCTTCACAGGGATGCCTGTATTTGGAACAGATGAAGGGTCTGGCTTGGAAACGGTGCTGCGGAGATTTTCTGCAGAAACAGAGGCCAATGTACTAAGGGCAAAGCCTCATGAGAACACGAACCATGAACTTGCAAAACTGCTTGAAGCCAATCTGGAGACTTTCCAGACAGAGGGTCCTGTGAGGCTCCTTCAGGTCCTTGCTGTCCTGAGCAAAGAACTGAACAAGACAGGAGCGAGCAGTAAGGGTGGACATCTACTGAAATAAACAGGGGCGCTCTATGGGGAAGGGCAGGCTCATTTAAGAAGCTCACCAAGGCCCCCAAGGACGAGGGGAAAACTGAATTTGCCATCACGTGACCTCCGCATCTAGGCTCTTATCCTGCTAAAAACTCTCTTGGCCTGCTACCACTTTTAAACTGCCCTCTGAGTAGATGAGGTTGGCTGCCTGACAGATGTAAATTAGGAATGTTTCTGTGTTGTCCCCACATACAATAATGGCACCTTTATAGTTGGTCCACAGTGCACAGCTGTAAGCCTGATCTCATTTTAGGTCCAGGACTTTGCACACACCTCCTTGTAGGAAACCTGTCAACATGTGAACCGTGGACTTCTCTGACCTTTGGCGCGATCCACCCAGTAGTATGATTTGCCCCAGCCCTAATGCCTTACCTCAGACCCCCAGGTCTCATCTAGCTGAAGAGAAATGGACAAGGTTTTGAGCTGTGAGAAGGAAAAGGATGGTTACGGTGCTGGCCTCAAAGTTGCACATTTCCCCTATAGGAGTGTTACATCCTTAAGATCAAACCAAAGGAGTGAGTGTCCACGCAGCTTGGAGCAAGTTTCTGATGGAACCTTAGCTAAACAGCTCCTGGAAGCTCCTTGCTGGCCCATTTCTGAGATGTCACACACTCACTTGATCTATTTCCTCGGAGGAAAGGCAGCACTTGCGGAGCCCACACCACAGCTGTGACTACTGCCGCAGTGTTGTGGTGAGCCTGGCCTGTCAGGGCATCCTCTCCTTACCACTTCCAAGAGCTTTCTGTGGTAGAGCCCTCCAAGAGGATCTCTCACTGGCAGCTCCCAGCAACTGGTTTCTGAGTGCAGTGCTCACTGGTGTAGTGTCAGAGACAAACCTAGCCATGGCAGGGACCACAGATTTGCACAGCCCAGAAGGGCCCAATGTCAAGCAGGCTGTGAAAAGGGCTTCACAGAAGCTAATGAAGTTCTGTTTGCTCACTGGGAACTCTGGGGAGTTAACAGCCCACGGACCACTTGATGTGGCTGATCTGAGAAACGAGGACCACTGAAGGTTGGCAATGAACTCAGGTTGCTCAATTGAGTGGGAAGCTCTGCCCTTTGAAAAATCATGAGAGGTCGGTTAGAGTGGAGTCTTCCCAGCTGGGGCAGGCCTGAGCCTAAGGATGAGGGCTTAAGTGAAAGCGCCTAGCTCAAGACCTTCTGAGAGCAGCTTCAGAGGCTGTTGATTCTGTTCAGGGTGGAGGTGGGCATGCTGGGTTCCCATTCTGAAACAGAAGCAGCTGGCTCACTCTTGCAGTAGAGCTACTGTCAAACCCAGCATATTCATCTCTGGCCCTCCTGAAGGGAGTTTTTATTTATTTATTTTTTTTCTGAAGGGAGTTTTTAAACTAACTAGGATGTGTTTGCAGTACACCGATTACATTGACCACGGGGTGCTTGTGCATGTCTGCGACACCTTTTATCCTTGCTACGTCCCCTCCCCCCATTCCATCCCTTGGTGGCCCTCCCTTTTTCAAAAGATCTCCCTGTTTCTTATTATAGTACTTTGCTCCAATGTTAAGTGAAATGAGACACACAAGCTTAAATATCACAAGGTTTTCCTCTATGAGAAACCCAGAGCAGATAAAGAGATTTGTGTGTGTGTGTGATGGCCAGATGTGGCTGGAGATCCTCTGGGTGCCGTCTGGCTCTCACACACTCCGCTCTTAGGCTCAGCCTGGTAAAACAGATTAACCTTGACGGGTTTCTTGCAATTCTGAGGCGGCTAGATGGAGAAACAGTGCTCATCAATCCAGTGCTCCGTGAATGTGAGCTGCTGGCAGCAAGGTTCATTCTTCTGAATGAGGAACATCACACCACAGTGACCCATGTGCACCCATGTTTAGAGCAGCACAATTTGTAATAGCTTTGTCTTGGAAACAACCGAAATGCCCATCCACAAAGGAACAGATCGAAAAGATGTGGTATTTTTATAGAGTGGAGTACTATTCAGCTATAAAGACAGATAATCTTGAGACTTTTATCGGTAAATCTTGAGCCCAAAATCATAAGTGAAATAAACCAGACTCACATGTGTAAATATCATATTGTCTCTGTGGTATGAGAACCTAAATGAATAAATAAGGTCTAAAATATACAATAGATTTTGTGAAATGGAAAGGAATTGTTCAAAAAGAAAAAGGACCTAGGATGACGGTAAGGGGGAAGATAAAAGCGGGATGGGAAAAATGCAGGTGAGTTATACTATTAGGGTCTCTTAGTTGATTGAAAAAGAAGGTTTGTGATAATACCCTTCAGAGAAATTTTAAGACCCATAACTTGTACTCTGAATAACTACTTTCAAGCTAACAATATGCAATAACTATTGTTATTCTCCTATTATTTTGTTATGAAATTTTATTTTACTTTTTTCCATAAAATAAAAAAATAAAAAATAAATATTAGTGTATTATTTTAATTTTGCAATAAGCTTTGAAGTGTTAAATTTTTTGGGGATTGTTTGTGTTCTCCAGAATGGTATGATAAGATATAGCTTTTGTTTGATTTTTTTGTAAAAGCATTTTGCATGAATTTTACCCATATACAGTAAGATAAAAAGTTGAATGTGATTGTCCGTATGAAATCATTTGTGACTCTACTGTGACAGTACTTATCCTGAGTGTTCATCATCATAGGAATACCTGTGCTTGTTTCCAGTTATTCACTGTCTAATGCCTATCCCAACCCCCTCAGTCCCTGGGAGATGTAGCTCTACTTTCTCTATGTATGGCTATGGATAATGTGGATATTGTAAGTCACCAGAGTCACACAGTAAGATTTTTGTATTTGTGAGCATATTTTTCAATGTACATTCATGCGGTAAGAAATATATTAATATCATCCCTTTTATGGATGAAGAATAACCCATATGTGGATATACCATAATTATTTTTGCTCAGTCTTTATGTATTGACAGACTTTTGAGTAAGTTCTAAATTGTTGCTTGCACTAGGCACTTTTTTAGGAAGTCAGATTGCATGATTTTGTGCAAATGTACAGTTTCAATGCTATTTGTCTCTTACCCAATGAGATAAATCATATGATGATTTTATTTTGGTAATTTTGGAATCTGTTAAATTATTTGTAGACTAGATATGAAAGTAAATAAACTTTGATAGAAGTGCACTTTCTCTATTCTTTGAAATATATGAAAAAATTTCAGGAATGGCAAAGCCATAAAGACAGAAATAGATTTGTCCTTACTTTGACTGGGAGAGAGAGACGGGAAAGAAAGAATAAAAAGTGATAGAAAAAAGTGTAATGTTTCTTCGGCAATTTAGAAAAATGATTTTAATGACATTGTATTGATGGTTATAAATTTTTTATTAATATATACTAGTCTACACTGGACATTTTACTTTTAATTGGTGAGATTATTGATACTTGAATATTAAAACAAATATGTGAAAAATTCAACAAATTTATTTATAAATGGCTGAAAATGTTATAGATATTATATAAGAGGTTATATATGAATGTTAGTGTGCATGAAGAAGACAGTGAAAAACTACAGAGCTCATTATTATTCCATGGAAATAAAAGAAGAGAAATGCTCAGCAGGGGATGACAGCAAGGACAATGCAGGTAAAGTCTGCCCAGAGCCTCAATTCACCTGCTCATGTTTGGGACCCAGGAAGGTCTGGCTCCTGGGCATCCTGATCATGCTGAGGGCTGTAGTTCTGTCCTAGTACCCTGAGCATCCCCTGGTTGAGCAGGATTGTTGGTCTGTTTCACCAGAGAAGTGAGGTTTTCGTCTATGCTCAGACTGACTGCTTCTCACTGTGGATTCCAAATTCCTATCAACTTTTACAAGGTTCCCTGAGATGCCTTAGGATCTGGTCTTCATGACCACAGCAGAACCATTTGAAATTCAAGTGTTAAATTGAGTTTTGCACAGTTGAGAATGTGTCCTCCTATTTAAACAAGTGTATTTAGAGACACAGCAGAGGTAAGGACAGAAATTATGAAGTCGGAGTACTTGGGAGAAAGGATTATGCTGCAAAGTAGTCTCAGATCCTAAGAGGAAAAGCACTTTCACCTCCCTCTAAATCTACTCTTAACAAGATGATAGGAATTAATAATCGTTATTATATTACATATTTTTATCTTCCAAGAATCCTGTATCGTTTTAATTGTTTTTGTGTTGTCTTGCTTTTGTCTTTGTTGTTATTTTGTTGTTTTTTCTCTTTAAAATAAAAAAAAAAAAATCTACTCTTGCTTTTTCTGTATTCCCCGTGCCCCCTGCTTGTCCTGAGCGGCCCTGCAGGGAGGTTTGTGTCTGGGCTCACACTGACATCCCCTCACTGTGCCATGCACAGTAATATATGGCCGTGTCCTCGGTTTTCAGTTGGGTCATTTGCAGATACAGCGTATTTTTGGCGTTGTCTCTGGAAATGGTGAATCGGCCCTTCACAGAGCCTGCGTAGTTTATGGTACCACTATTCCCGCGAATTTCCCCGAGCCACTCCAGCCCCTTCCCTGGAGCCTGGCGGATCCAGTTCATCCAGGAACTACTGAAGGTGAATCCAGAGGCTGCACAGGAGAGTCTCAGCGACCCCCCAAGCTGCACCAAGCCTCCGCCAGACTCCACCAGCTGCACTTCACCCTGGACACCTGCAAACACAGAGACATCCTGCTCGGGAAACTGTCACACAGGCCCACTGTTTATCCCACTCGTGTCCACTCACACCCTCAGTATCTCTTGTTCACCATAAATCACCTTTTAAAACAGCAACAAGGAAAACCCAGCTCAGCCAGAGCTCCATGATGAGCCGTAGGTGCTCAGGCCTGATCGATACGTGGGAAATCCTGGGCATGCACAGCTGCACTCCTCTGCAGAGCTGCGGAGGCAGGGCTGGGCTCGGCTGGTTTTCATCAGCAGCCTGAGGCCCTATGTGCATGGCCTCCTGCTATATAGACAGCTCTCTTGTGGAAGCCTCTGCTAGAGATGGGTCCAGAGCATGGGAGATTGTTCAGGCAGATATTTTGTAACAAGCATAATAAGGAATATATGATTTCTTACTGTGTGCATGGGTCATGTTGAACATTTAACCTCATTAGTTTTCTCATAGTCACAAATGTACATAATAAATGGGTTTGGTCATTTCCTAAGTTTTGCAACTGTGCACCAAGAGCAAGAAGCATCATGAACCTATGAAATCTGAGCTCACATGTTTTTATAACTCATGTGTTTACCTCTGTCCTTCCCACAGTGTTTACATGCACCATGAGCTATTCCAAGGCACAGTTCGCATGCTTGGTGATGTTTTCCAGACCTCTTACCCTAATGAGAGTCCTTGGCATGATTTTCTGCATTCTGAAGATTCCGTAAATAAATAGGCAACCAGTATTCTTCAAGCCTAGGTTGACTCTGATGTAACCTGTGTTATTATCTATCTCTATATTAATATTTCTACAATAAATTAAGTATTTTATATAATAATTTAGTGATGACTAAGTAAGATATACGTTTACACAAATATACAATTTGTTACATGCTGAAATAATTGTTCCCATGGTCGTGTAAGGCAATGAGAAGTACCCAGAAATTCTCCTAGAGTTTTTTGAAAATTCTCTTTCTTGTGTCTTCCTTTATTCCACCACTTCCTCAACTGAAACATTTGTTTCTGCTTGCGACAATCCATCCTCATTGTTATAAAAGTAGCAGATTAATTTTTGATGATGGTGATTATCACACTGATGGATATTCCAAAGCACATGCAGCCTTAAACTTCAGTCTTCTGGGCTGGGAATGTAACCCAGTGGCACAATGCCTGCCTGGCAAGCATGAGGCCCTGAGTTCAATTCGTAATACCGAAAAAAAAAAAAAAAATCAGTCTTCTTTCTAGTATATGCAAGTTGGGATTATCCTTCCACTGAAGTACATATGAAGGAGATAAAGAAATAAAGAATAAGTACATACATATACACATATGCATTCTATCTGAACACCAGGCAAAGCACTCACATGCCTTGGAGCTTTGCTCCTTCCAAGTGAACTGCAAAAGCTGTATTACAGGGCCTCCTCGGTTTATGCAAGGCTAAGACAGAGAGGAAAACCCCAGGTATTGACAGGAAGAGCCTCACTCCCCAGCTTCCTTCTCAACACCTGCAACTGGGGCCCTTGCTGGTTTTCTCTGAATCCCCAGGGCATCCTCCTGCTAGTACAGAGCTTTCCCTGCTGGTCCTGGAAATCCCTCTCTCTTTTGTCTTGAGCACCCCCTGCTGGTCCTGAACATTCCTGTGGAGGGTTTTGGGTTTGGGCTTACATTCATTTCTCCTCACAAAATATCTTGCACAGTTGTATACTCCATGATTTCTGAGCCCAGTTGCAAGGAAAATTAATTCTTGGATGTGTCTTAGGGGATGCTGAGCTGACTCTCAGGGATGAATTATCAGCTGCGCCTCTTTTAAAATCATCCTGCCCTGTCCATTCAGTCCCCTTCCCTGAGGGCTGATGGATTAAGCTGCCAGAGCAGCCACTATTGATGCAGTGACCAGAAAAGGCACAGCGGAGGGACAGGCCCAGTCCCATCTCTTGCAGCTGCACCTAGGTAAGGACATTTGGGACAGGGAACACAGTGAGTTTTGAGCTCAGATGCAGCATCCCACATTTTCCTGTCTGAGCCCTGGGGCCCTCATACCTGGGAGGTGCCAACAAGAAAAGGAACAGATAGTATTACTCCACTTTCTTCAGATTAGCTATACCAATTGCAGAATGTATCCTAAAGTTTCAGGATGAAGCTGAATTTAAACAGATGTGTGAAGAAGGCACATACTGCATGCAGAAGTAACCA